CCCCAAAACCCCAAAACCCCAAAACCCCAGGATATTATTTAGATATTGGATTCAGAATATTTAGAATTATGGATTTTTTATAATTAATATTGGTTTTTAGACTCTTCTTTCATGTATTTAAAAGTTTGCATTCTTGGATTACTATAGTTACTAATATCAGATTCAAGCTTTTCTGACCTCCTCTTGCCTCTGGCCATAATTCGGAAGCCTAAATTTTAGACTCAAGCTTACTCTTGGAAGAAGCTCAGTCATTGTCGGTGAAAATCTTGACTTGAGATTTGTTTCATACCTCCTAAAATTATTGGGGAATCTTCACAGAAATCGATTGTGCTTAAAATGTATGGATAAATAATAAAGGTATACTTACTCTAAGTGAGGTGTCATTAAGCACTTTGACAAAATCATTCCTCTGTAAATTCTTATCTTTACTCTTTGATCTATATATTTAGCTGATGTGCTTGCTCAAACATATTTTTGGGTTGGTGGAATATTCCTACAATTAGAGTTAGAGCTATGCCATTGGGAGCTTCTAATAAACAAGGAAAAGAGATTAAATGCTTCAGTCAATACTTTCAGTTCTCATGCACAAATTATTTGATAATTATAAAAATTAAGATACTTACTCTTATGTTTCGTTCTTCCTTTCACTCTCTTCTTTTTGATTCTGTATCTCTTCTTCACATTTTTAGGCTTCGATGTTTGAGGAAGGTCTAAAAAATTAGATTTATGATTACTCTCTTGTTTTGGTACAACTTTGTCATTCTCAGAAGTTTCTTTGTCTGATATCTGTTTTCATAAGAGTTTGGCAGTTATCAAATATGCCTAAATATGATGAATTTAAAGATTGTAAAAATATAATATACATAGAAAGTACAAAGAAATGAAATATAAAATTCTAAAATTCAGGTTAGATTTACTTGAAGTAGTTCTAAAGAAGGAAACGAGTGTATAACTATATAATTACTCATTCAACTAAAATATGGAAATATCCAATAGAATTTTTCTGAAATAGAAAAGAACTTTATAACGAGGACTAACTGTGCAGAAATTATTCTTGAAATCTGCACCTTTATTGAAGATATTAATTTTAATATTCTTGCAAAAATAGACAAATTTTAAAGCTTTAATGACATTAACCCTCTTTGATATTTTTGGCTGTGAGGTAAAACAAAGCAAATAGCATACATATTTAGTTAACTTGTTCTTGCTTTGGAATCATTTAAGACATAGTCAGAACCACTCAAGGCAGAACTTCATGTTGATCCAGATAATTATCACAAGGATTATAGAATCGAGGCTATCAATATTTACATCTTGTTCGAAAACATAACTAGCATTGAGAGTCACAATTCCTGCAACAGTTGAAAGTAGAGCTAGATTGTTGTTGGCATCATCTTTGTATGGCCTAAATCTTCTTTCTAATCTCTCACTGGCTACCATGACAATAAGAGACAGTCCTATTTTGAAGTTGTTAGGAAACAAGAATGATATAACAATCAGTATTTTTCTCAAAGTGTTCACAAATTCCCAATAAAACTCTTTGTCATTTAGTCCTTGATGGAGAATCAAGAAGTAACCAATCATTTTGTTACTATCTGATTTGTGTGCTTTGTACAGAATCAGCAAGCCTAAAGCTGGAATTCCTACAACCCAGATTACAAGAATGGGAAAAGCTAATAATAGTAACCATTTGATGTGAGTTAGAGAATATCATTCGATGTCTGTGTCAATTCTAACAAATCGCAGAGTCTTATCTGCGGTCACTCATTGAAATGCATTGATTCCAGCTTCAGTGAGCTTTGGATGCAATATGAACATAATACTTGTAAGCGAAACAATCAAGTTCCTCTTGGGGTCTTTGACCCAGTGTCTGTTCATCATAACTATCAGTGCCCATATTAAAGCAACAACTCAGAACAAAGCCAGAGGCAAGAACAGCATCAAGAAAAGTTTCAAGATTGCGTTGGATTCGAAGGGACCTTTTATCTCATAATCGGTGATGAAACAATCGAATGATAAGAAAGGCCGAGAAGAATCTCCAATTCTATTTAGTGGCAGGAAGATGTCAGTCAAAGATGATGGATACTTTGTTGTCATCGACATTGAAGTGGTGATAATTTGCAAATAATTTGTAAGTATTCTCAACAGAATTGAGAACTCACTCTCAGTTGTTTTCATAACATTGGAAACAATAGTAACCATCATGAATATAAACATTATGATGATCAATCCGATAACTCTGATAGCATTCATTATAGGATCAGGGCAAACCTGACACTCAAAATCATCAACCTCCTGATATTTTGTGCCATCAGAAATTTCTCACTTGGATCATAATTTACCAGCATAGCCAGTTGTTCACTGGGTTGGGTATTCATTTTCTGGATGATAACCTCCATCACAAGCTTCTTTTCTAATGCATTCCACAATCATTGTTGAATTTGTGGATCTTCTCCAGTAGCCTTTAGCAACTTCCATTTGTTGCTTTCCAAGTCAAGATGCATTGTCTCCTCACTGGTGGCATTGTGTTGAGTTCCAATTGAATGAATACGTGCCTGCTGGTCACTCGTATCATTGGCCATCAATAATTTTTTCTCCAGGCTTGCAGTAACTGAAATTGATGATAATTTCTGGCTGAACCACAGAGTCATTGAAAGCATTCTTGACTTTGTTTTTATTAATAGATTTGGATGAAATTTTGTATTTGACATTGGATGTTCCAGGCTCCGCAACTGGAACTAATTTTGAAAACTCAGTAACTCCTTTAACAGTTCTTTCAACATTATAGCCTTTCATCGAGGTATTCATGCTTCCAGCCACGATGTTGATTTGACTTGAGTCGTCTAAAACCATGACTTGATTGTTTCCATCGTAGATAGCTAAACTCAATTGTTGTGATATTTTTATTCCGGACGACACTTGGTCAATCACAATGTTGTCAAATGAATTGCTATCAGAGAGACCTATCATCACAGGATAGCTCGCAAAATCATTTCCGTACTGGGCTGTGTTATTAATGAACACTGTCTCTTTATCAACTGATGGAGGTTTATAGTTGTAATAGATGGCTCCACCTCTCTCGGTTGCTGAGTTCGATTGAAAGACAGAATTCAGAATTTCAACACCACAGTTAGTAGCATCTGATCAAAGTGAAGCAACTGCTGCTCCAGATACTGCCTTGTTTTGTGTAAATGTTGTATTTAGCAAAGTTGCATTACTGTTATGAACTAGCACGCCTCCACCATATATTAATTCTTCATTACCACAATATTCAAAACTTGAGTGAGCAATCAGCTCTACTTTGCTGCTAATGAGTTCGATGGCTCTATAATAGTAGGATACACTTAGATATTCAATAAGTTCAACATTTGAGTCTTTAATTTCAAACAAGGTCTTGTTGTAGTTTGAAACAGACATATTTGAAATCTTAAGCTGATTAGATTTAACAATCTTGAACATTTTGTTTTCAAGGATAGAGCTTTTCTGGACATGAATTTTGCTTAAATGGGATCTTGGAGATCTGTATATATCTATCAAAGTGTTTGGTCCTATTATTTCATTGAACTCAAGGTTATCTGCATACACTTCAGCAGAAGAAGCTAGCAAAAGCATTGAATTTGACTTTGAATAAGTAAGATTTTCTACATGCAGAATTGACTGAGACACTCCAAGAATTGATCCAATTTCTGTACTGTCAAACGAAGAAAGAGCTGAGTGTTCAATTGTCAAATTTGATGAAGTCGCTACAATGTGGAAATTTGAAAACACGATTGAGTATATGAATACTTCAGAAATCTTAGCAGCAGATAAGAAGCAGTTCATCAGATATGCCTGGGTATGAATTTGAGTCCCTTGACTGATCTCAATTGAACCAGTAATTACACTGATGGCATACTTGGATTTTTCTGTATTGATGACTACATCTATATTTTGATCTAAAGCAATGAGCATAATAAATTACTGAGATGCTGCTTGAGTTGATGGCTGATCATACAGAGTTTATCACAACCTGCTTGTATCTCTTCTATTACCTCTTCATTTGTTAGATAGGAGTTGTCATAGATTGATCAATTTGTAAACTCAGAAGCTTCTACTGTTTCTAATATTGATCCAACTGGGTTTTGGATCGCAAAATTGTTGTAGAGTGATGAGTTTTTGAAAGAAATCTTGCTTCCTGAAGTAACTTCAAAAGCTCCATATTTGAGTGCAAAATTAGAATGTATTTCTCAGTGAAAACAATCAAGTGTTGACTTCGATTCAACTATAAATATTGATGAAGTCATAGCTGAATTTGCAGCAAATATTCACTGAACAAATAGTCCAACTGAGCTGTCTTTCAGATTGATGATCCCAAATCTCTCACCGATAGAAGTAATCTCCGAGAAGTTGCTAGAAATAACTTCAACATTCCCGTTCGTGATAACCTCAACTAATGGCTTGATAGTGTTTTGTATATTTCCAAAAGTACAATTTTGTATTTTTAGTTTGGTTTTCACTCTTGAGTCTGTCTCAGCATTAGATTCAATATAAATACTTGCTGATGAAATATCTTGGAATATTGAATCTTTCACAACAACACTGTCCTCTAGACGGTGGTTGAATTCCATGATTCTACCATAGCTTACGAAGCTGACATTGGTCACGATCAAGCTGCTGAAAACTACCTGAATGTCTTCGAAGGCTTCAAACCCATCAGTGGAGATAATTGCTCTTGGACCCTTGAAATGAGTATCTCTGATAGCAATGTTGGAGGCTTTGAATCCTTTATGCTCAGCTTCAGACTTTATTGTTCCCCATTTTATCAATGAAATATCAGCATTTTCCATCACAATTTTGTCCATTAAGACTTCTTCTGCTCCAAATGTAACCACTTCTGCCTCAACAAAATAGTTTCTTGACTCGCTACCTTGAGCGGCCATTACACTATGCAGACTTTGGTTGGTCATCTGGAAAGAGGAGACTGACCTGAGCCGAAACAAAGGACTATTTTCCGACATTGAGATATCTTCGTACATACATGAACTGATGCTAAGTCTCAAGGGCTGGCCAATAACCTCCACAAAAGGAAGTGCCAAAATAGAGCACGATTGTAACAAGAGTCCTTTAATTGAGATCACAGTCGAGGGAAGGGCAGTTATAGAAACATCATTAAAAACTCTGAACTTGGGTGTCATATAATCCTGTACAATCACGTCATTTATAGTGACATTTAGACAATTGATGATTAGCAGTAGTCTCTGACAACTTGGGATATGGCTGAAAGTCAGGTTGGTTAGACTCACAGCTCTGATGTTGTAAAACTCTATCAGCTTATCAACAAAGGTACTGTTTTGCACAAGCAGGTTTGACAAGTGGAACTCGTCAATGGGGGTGGAAAAAGCTGCAAACAAAGGGGGTTTCATAGTGCTTTTATAGTTAAAGTACTGGAAGTCATTAATTTTGTAAATAATCGGCCTGTAATGAGGCCTAATTGAGATAAACACTATCAGTATAAACTTTTGGATGGGATCATTGAAGTTATCAATCCGACTCTTGAATCCATTATAATTTACAGTTTGTATAGAATCGTCGTCTGGGATTCAATAAGCAGTTAACAATGTTGACATTGCCGAGACTTCATCTTGTGAAACTCCATAAAATTTGCCAATATCAATATCTTGAATAGTTACATTGATATGCCCTGTCGACTTTATAAATTCCAGGCTGTCCATTTTAGTCTTGTCTTTATAAAGCACAAATGAAATGTTCTTGGCATAGAGGCTAGCAAATAAATAGGCTTCTGGATAATTTCAAATTATAGGATAGTCACTCATGAACCAGCCAAGACTGTATCCTTCTATCACAATGTTTTCCAAATGCACATTGTATGGATCATTAGTGTAGATGCCACTTCCTGTCACATTGAAGTTGCAGTTAGCTATATAAACTTGAGGTTTAGCACTTACTTATCTTTAACAGTCTGTTTTGGAAGTAAATGGGTCTTATCAATAGACTTTGCTGATTATAGTCTATTTCTTCGCGATAGAAGTCAATCCCATCGATTTCAATAGAAGTTCTAAGGAGTCTCATCGTAGCAACTCTAGAAGAAAATGCATCTGTTTCTGAAGTAGTAAATCCTCCTTCTGTGAGTACCTTATCAATCTGGGCATCAGCGTGCTTGAGAACATGAAAAAGAGCTCGGTCTGTGATTCCATGCTGCTTGAAATTGGTCGGGATAAGCAATGGGCGATTTTCAGATTCTAAATTTTCATGTTATAATTCAAAACAAGGAATCTCAAAAACAAAGTTACTATTAGGACATTTTAGCTTACTTTTTACTAACCTTGTATGTTGAAACGGTTGATATCTTGGAATAGGAGCAATTGTGATGCTAGTCATGTTTATAATCACAAAACCTCCGTGTTCGATATAGGCATCGTTTGAGTAAATACTGATATTATAATCAGAATTTGAATATAGATTCACCAGTTCAGAACTCAAAGTGGTAAAAGAACGATATGGGAAATCTTCTGTTCCAAGTTCAATGCTTTTAGAGCTAAATGGGTCCACATAATAATCTAAAGTTCTTCATATTGTCTTTAGAGAAAATTGTGAGCTTGATAGTAAATGTTTAGGAGATATGCAATCTGAAATCATTGTGCACTTTTTGGCAATAAAATCATAAACTTCTCCTTCATTTCATTGAAATCAAGTCGCCTGGTAAGCTCACTCTAAATCACATTTACCATCACAACTTCTTCAGATTCCACCTGTTCTATCATAATAGTCACCATCTGGACACTTTTGTCAAAGCTTTCCTTCAACACCTTCAGGGTGGTAGTCATCCAAATGAATCTTCTCTTGATCTAAAAACATATAATCTTGTCAAGTGTCTCAATCATAAGGGCCAGAACAAGTCTTTCATGATCCATGACATGGCAATCAGCCTCCGTCTTTATAATAATACCCTTCATAGCACCCTTGCTTATACATAGCAGGGACTAGCACAACAAATCCGACTAATAAGCCAGCTATCTGCTTCATATTTAAATATTTTTTTATAATACAATCTTATTCTCCCACTAAGGGGTTTTGGGGTTTTGGGGTTTTGGGG